AACCGTTCCGATCTCTCTACCCAGTACCTTCGTATGTTCGTACTGATCCAACACTCGACGCCGTCGATTCCCGTGGTCGCAGGCTAACATACCCTAAAAAGGTACACTAACACAAAATGGCCCCGAGGGGTCCGCAAGTCAACAGAAATCAACGACAGATAGATATATATTCTGACTCCCTCTGCGCGCTANTACAAGCCGATACCCGGGTCATCCTGCGGGTGTCTCGCGTTGTGGAGCTACACCGCGGAGCAGAAGCTACGGGAGGGCCTACCGCGCCAGGCGACGGCGCCCTGAAACAGTTTCGGGCAGGAATAGCCAATCTGGGGAAATCTAGCAACGTGCGTAGCTCCTCGCTGCTGCAGCCGATCGCAGTGACACGCATATGCACGCGAAGCTGCTGAAGAGAGCTTCAATTTGCGCCGCTTTTTTGAAGAGCCCGTCCCCTGCTTCCCGAGAAATTACGGGAGGCGTCTGGACCCGAATTTCGAATTTTTTTGGTTCTCGCTTTCAATCGGAAACTTCGCTCTCAATCGTGCGAAAACCCTGTCTGTTCTATGCGAGGTAACAACTGAGACTAGGAGTCACCATCACGGGCCGGAGAGAATGAGGTACACCCCGTTGGTTCATTCTTGGTACTTCACAACGCAAGCAGAGACAAGGCCATCTGGCGCAGAAAAAGATAAATACAGAGAAAAAGAGAAGAAAATATACGGAAACAGTAAAGAGAAAATGAACTAAAAAGAGCGAGAAAGACTAGAGGACAAAAAGGGACCAAGCCGAAAATACTATGAAACAAGAGACAGAAAAGAGAGACCACTAAAGGCCACTTGTTACGTGGTCGTTTTTTGGGCTGTCTATTTTCTCAAGACGGGACCACCGAAAAAAAGATACTATGTATGTACGGAAAAACGACAACCCACTTCTTACGCTCGATTTTTCCACAAACGAGGTGTTCGATTATTCTCGGAGGCGTTTCGCGTGCGAGCGCGAATTTGAATGTTGCTTGAATTCTACTTGCAGGTCGCGCCGCTTCTCTCGCGCGCACGCACACAAGCTATACGCGTACCCACACACACACCACGAGCCACCGCATACCATGGATGTTATGAAACTAGACAACGTTGAGCCTCTACTACTGAAACTAGACAGTGAAGTGCTACTGCTGTTCCACTGCTGTTGTTCGAACTGCCCTTCAGCGCCGTTCTTGTTCACCGACAGGAAGAAGTTGTGGAAGCGCTTCCACAAGACCATGCGCGACATGAAGAAGACGTACAACAAAGTGTGGGACAGGTGTGTAGACGTTTGTGTGGTACTGCTGTATTGCGCGGTACTGCTGTATTGCTCCGCAATAGTGATTGAGGCTCAATACAGCTTTTGCCCCAAATATATGTACAGCAGCGTGTTGTGTATGCTCCTGAATCAGCGGTAAGCTACAAGCCCACCATCGGAAGAGGACTCTCATTGGCGGTGGCGTTTCTGCTGTACGCAGCTGATGTAGAGCCAGCAGCTCATGTCGTGTCGAAGGATAGGCCCGCACGTGTCGAAGGGTAGGCCTGCACCATCAATTTAGCAGCTGGTACACCGGAAGTAGATGGGAGACAGACGCGTTGGCGCACACCTGGTGGATGTGTGCATGTGTGCATATCCTCTATATCGGTTGTGCTCATGAGTCATGTGTGTGTGTTGGAAACTGAAACTCCCCAGCAGTCCTATTGAGCAGAGTCGAGCGAGGGAGGGCACACGGACATGCTCCTACACATCAGTATTGACCATGTATGTACTGCTTAATACGTCACCACACTTTGGGGCGAGGGTCTAGGTTGGCACCGGTGCCTTCGCTGCCATATGGTCCTTTATCACACGCCTTTATTTTGTCTGCCCAACGAATCGGTTGACCTACAGTGCGACCTTTTTTCTTTCGGCTAGGTCATGGCCACCGTCTGTGAATCACGCCCCCCCCCCCCCCCCCCCCCCCCCCCCCCCCCCCCCCCCCC